AGCAATTAACCACTAAGAAGAATATATGTAGTGTATTATTTGTTGAAACTGTACTTTCGATTTGATTTGAAACTGTCTCATTGCTATATGTTTATGAATAAAACTTTGAAAAGGAAAAAAAAAGGGGGCAATATGTATCATCTCTTTTCACAGATATCTGAGATGTTATTACTGGGCAGTCCGAAGTTTAATCACCATCGGGGGTCTTCCAGATCCACAAACTTTATTTGAAATTATTTTTCAACTCTTGAATTTCTTCTCTGGAGTTTTTGTATTCTCCAGCCTAATTGGTCAGGTAAGTGGAATCTGAGTTCCTAGATACAGTGTCTTCACTTTTGAAAAGTTAGCAACTTGATGGAGAAAATTTTAAATCTGTTTAATTCTTTTTCTCATCTTTCTCTCCTTATTCTTTATTTTTCTCTCCTATTTCTTCTCCTTTCATCTATTTTAATGAGGAAGATGTAACTGGTAAAACATTGTTTGTACATTCTTAAACCATTAAGTTTATCAGATCTTATTAGCAATGATCTGAGTTTATACTTTCAGAGAAAGTTATTTCTAAGTTCTTTCTAAATTAGCTTCCTACTAGAGGCTTTCTAAAAACATATCATGACCCCCTTATTTAATTAAACTTATGAAATCACTGAGTTAAAATCAACTTTAAGTTCCTTTAAGCCAGAAACTTTGAGATGGCTTCTTAAACAATTAATAAATTGTTACTACACAAGATATTTATGTAGCATTATTGTTTTATTCTCAAATGGCTGCCATCTAGTAAGAAAAGAACACAAGTACATAAGTATCTATAACACAAAGTTGTTGACATTTACAAGGAAAAGAACCCCAAATCTTTCTGAATTCCCAGATTCACAAGAAACAAAAAGTCCAACAGCCTACCATCTTTAGAAATCATGAGTCCTTGGTGAGTGTTTTCCACACCACATGCTCAAGTAAACAAAAGCCATATTGAGAAGTGTCCTAGATGATGCGTTAGGCTAAGTCACAAAATGATTATTTTTCCAAGAGAAATAGTTGATTCCCACTCACCACATTCTCAGCACTATGAATGAAATTTATTTTTAGCATAAATTTAGAAATTTAGCATAATGTGTTACAGTATTCAACATTTTTCAAGAATAGTCAAAACTTCCAACAACCCATGCATGTATGGATGTTAAGGGTCTGCTATACACGGAGTTTGGAAGCAATCTCTATTCTTAGTTGAGAAAAGGGAAGCTTCTCAGGAGATTTCAAGAAAAAAATGCATTCAAAGTCCCTTCAAAATCCAGGTTGTATTCAATAATCATAGATAGAAAGTACAATTGATTAGGAACAGTGTGAAAAATCACAAAACCTACTAGAGAAAATGGAAAACATTCTAGAATAACTAGAATGAAGGACACTAGTAAATAAGAGGTAAGTATAAAGATTAGATATTTTAAAGGGAGGTTTTTGTCAAAGAAGATTAACTAAAGTATGCTATGATTTGGAAAGGGAGATACTGACTTAAAAATAGGGTTCACTATTATTTAGGTATGGAAAGACTAACAGGTGAGGGACAGTTACAACTGAAAAGGTCACTTGTTAGACTCACAGATCTCAGCAGGAGAAAGCACACCACACCACAAGGAGGGGTGGAAAAAACAAGGACTGGGGGATGAGAGGCGAGGCAGGGTGCACAGTATGAGGGTTGGCGTAGGACCAGTTCAGGAGCTCTGGGGAGCAGGGCTGTCTCTGCTTGTCTGGCACCTGGCACTGGGTAGACAATGGCACGAATAGAAGAGGGTCTGATGAGAATGTTGTAGGCAGCTGAATTAGACAGAAATATTATAGGCAGTCAGACAGGGCCAGGCCCTCAAGGAGACAAGGTGGAAGACAAGGTGGCTTTACAACTTGGAAGAGACAGACACTCCCATATGGGACAGACCTCAGGACAAAAGAGGAAACACTGCTACACACTTCCCTAGGGATGGGCATCAGGGATTGATATTCTAAACAGGTATCAATCACCTTGAAAGAGCCCAAATGAGTCACTAGCCCAACCCCCAACAGGAAGAGACCTTGTCCCATATTCATACCCACTTGCTATGGGACTTGCTTCCCCTTTTGATGTATTCAACTTTACCTGAGCAATGGTTCTTGTAATCTCATTGGTTGACCATAGTTTTGTCCCACCTCATGCCCACCTAAGCAAGTTCCCATGTCTTCTCCACCACCTTAGACCCACCTCACTGCATGGTTTTCTTCTATAAAAATCCCAGGGAGAGACAGCTTCCTGGGGACCACCCACTCGGGGCTCGCCTCCTGTCCCTCTCTCGGACAGGAGCTTTCTTTCTCCCAATAAATATATTCTGCTCATAACCTCTGTTTGTTCCTAAAATTCATTCTTTGGTTTTAGAGAACATAAACTGGTCCCAGGTACCTTTTAGATTGGTAGATTGGTTTTTCTGCCTGTGTTGTTTGGAGGTTTCCGTGTGTCAAGAAGACTAGTGGAAATATGGACTCTGGATTAGTTAATTTGGATGAGAGAGACACTCTCAAGACAGCCAATCACAGCCTCCAGGAATTAACTAATGCTATGAGTGAGAAGTGTACTCACAAGTAAGGAAGGGGCCAGACTGCAGCTCCTCACAGTCTAGGAAATAAGGACATGGTTCATACAGATAGCCAGGGACAGGGTCACTCCAGCCCAATGTGTCAGTGACCTGTAAAGCAAACTCCACTTAGAAAATGTTGAGCTATTAGAAGACAAACATCAGGCAGTTAAAAGCTTAAGTATAAAATATCATAATCTTCATGGCCAGGAATATCACGTCAGTGGCTGAACTAAGAAGCCAATTGGAGAGAAATTCAATTCCAATCAATCTGAATGTAAGCACCAAAATCATATTATTTTGTAATGCCTCATAAAATCAATGTGAATTAGTCACATTACTGTCATTTTTTTCCTCAGTTTTAGAGATGAGGAAGCTCCAGATTAAATAAGTTAAGAGGCATTTGACCAAGGTAGTACATACTTGAAAGCCCAGCACTCTGGGAGGCTGAGGCAGGAAGGTCACAAGTTTAAGCCAAATTTAGGCAACTTAGTGGCTTAGATCCTATCTCAAAACAAAAATAAAAGCTTCTAGGAATATAGTGCAGTGCAAGGCCCTGTATTCCATCTCCAGTATACAAAAAGAAATGAAAAAAAAAAAAAAAGAAAAAGAAATTGAGAGACATCCCTAATTTATACACATAATTTGTGTGGTTATATGATAGAATTATATAGAATATTGATAATGACGGGAAGTTTAACAAGTATTGAGTACATACAATCCCAAGGCAATTATTACAAGATTACAAGACAATGCCTATGTAGCACTAGTTAATCCTCTTGCTACTCAAAGTATAATTTTTGGCCCAGTAGTACCAGGAGCACTTGAGAAATTCAGAACATGAACTCTACTTCATGACTACTAAATCTAAGCTTATGTTTTAACAAGATTGGCACATGACTTTTATACATATATAAGCTACAGAAAAGCTGCTGTGTAGCCCACATCTAGCTTTTTACTGAATTGGAGTTTCCTATGGGAACAAGAAGTATCAAGTCACTAAAAATGCGGTACTAGAGCACAAGAGAAAAACATTGAAGCTAGAGACAGAGCTGTGCTTTAAATTCTCATTGAATCAGATGTTGAGAAGGAAAATAGAAATAAAATTTTTAAAACCCAGGACAAAATTCCCATTCATTCAAAATCTCCACACATAGTCATACCAGCTACTAGAGCTATTCATCACTTTTTAATTCAAATATTATATTCTACAGTGCAACTCATGGAGCCTAACATTTTCTGATTCATACCTTCCTGGGCTTCTCTAGACTGGAACTTGTCTTAGAATACAAATCTCTCTGGGATCCTCCACCAACAAAGCCCATCATTGCTGGAAGATAGCACACAGACAACTTAGACTGTCACTGCTGATTCAGAAGCCTTCAAAAGCAGTCAACAACGGTTTCAATTGCCTTTTGCTCACAACTAACAGTCTATTAGATATTTCGGGATCTTCCTTTAATTTCTTAAGCCTCCCAGATTTTGGTGATTGGATAAACTGGTCCTCTGCCAAGAGTGGCATGGTAAACAGGGATCTGGGAATTGAGGTTGTGGAAGAATATTGGGAAGAGCCAGAAAGATAAACACAGTGAACTATCTGCACAGCTCCTCCTCACTAGGTACTTTGAAAAAACCTGTAAGCCCTGAAAATGGAAACTAAGGAAAGCATCAACAAAAAAGAGAATTATTTGAACCAAGTTCCAATGAGTATCTTTCCCACAAGCAGAAAAAAAGCTCAGCAGCTACCAGAATAAATGAGCAAAGTCTTAGTGTGAAAGGAAGGCCCTGGTTTTCCTTGCTATTATAAACCCACAGTCAAAGCAAATTTACAACCAGTTGCTTCCCTCTGCGTGAGCGGGAAGAATCGAGCAATATATCTTTTTTGTGCTGAAACCTTAAAGATCAGCTTTTAACCTAGAGTGGGTTTTTATGGCTGAGTTATAAACATCCAAGAACTAAAACCTGACAATTCCTTAAGCATTGTCACAGCAGTGCATGAGGCTTCAGTAATTTCAGCACATTTCTGCTTCTGCTGAGCATGATGCCGTAAGCATGATGAGATTTGATTGTATCTGTCTAAACAACACAAAAGGAGAACAGAGGTTGCAATTTCATGATGAATTGAGTCTACATAGCCAGGCACCCTGGATAATCTGTGAAGGATGCTTTCAAAGTGAGGCTCACTAAGACAGGTTAGCCTTCTGCTAAATAATTGCTTGAGTTTTTAATTGCACATTCGTTTCAAATGTACAAGTCATGCAGTAGTTTGTTATTGTTGTTGTTGTTGTTTGTTGTTGTTTTTTTTGTTTTTTTTTGTTTTTTTTTTTTAATATTGGCTTTCACTTTGCAGTAATGTCCAGGCTTGCAAAGAAGATAATGTGCAGTCGCTTGTGTTATGTGGCCAAATCCTCACAGCAATCTCATGTGGTAGCTATGACAAGTCTTCTTATTGTCATAGCTTTAGAGATGATGTGATTTGCCTGATGTTACAGGAAGGGGTAAAGTAGGATCCAGAATTAATGTGCTTCCAAATCAAGAAGTCAAGATCTTGGTAGGGAATGCGTCAGAACATGTAATTCAACTGGACATTTAGTAACTCCTACACTTTCTCTGCTGGATAGAGTGACTGTATCTATGATTTTAGATGCGAGATGTAATTGGGGCAGCTACAGCCAATCAGAACAAGTTCCGGGTCTATATGGATCATACCACAGCTTATATGAACACGAACTCCATTCCTCAAAGTGTGCAGAGTCGTGTTCGAACCTGGTTTGAATATACATGGTACTCACAAAGAATTCTGAGTAAGTATAACGGATTATTGATTAAATTCCTTTCAGCCTTGTTATAAAATGAATTATGTAAGGTAGAAGGAGGGATGAATTGGATATGGACAAAAGGGCGAAAAGCTCTTAGGGGATCTTTAAAGCATTAGCTATATTCAGTGCTGGTAGATTCTAAGTATCACATACTTTGCTTCCTCTCTCTCTCTCTCTCTCTCTCTCTCTCTCTCTCTCTCTCTTTCTCTTTCACACACACACACACACACACACACACACACACACAAATGTGGTCAGGACATGGACCCAGCATGATGTGACCTGACTGGAACAAAGACTCACATCTGTTCTCTAAGCCTTCACACTCTCTGTGACATCACCCTCCTGCCTGGAACAGGATACTCAAAGAACAGCAAAGTTTTGGGACATTCTCATGTTGTTGCGGGGCATACAATTACTTCTAGGAGAGCCTTAATCATTGATGGTATCACAGTATCTACAAATAGTACTGATTGACAATAATCAAATTCAGCTTTTAGTTTGTTCTACAAATGTAGGAATTGGGCTGGGGACACAGCTCGGTGGTCTAAGCACCTGACTGGCAAGCACAAGGACTTAGGTTCCATCCCTGGTAACCCATGCCTGGCTGGGCCCCTGGAACCCTTGATGCCCCCTGCTGCCCCAAAAGCTACCGTGGTAGCGCAGGCCTGTAATCCCAGTGCTGGGGAGGCTGAGATAATAGGATCAGTTCGAGTCTGAGCTCTGTAGAGAGACACTGTACCAAATAAATAATAAATAAAATATTATAAAAGTAGGAATTATTGCACTGGAAATTTAAAAAAAAATGTTATTGGCTTCAGCGCAAAAATGAGGTTTTCAAATCACAGATGTTCCTAAGAGCACTGCAACTCTAAAGAAACTCCAGCCTCATGTAGGGAATCTCTTCCCAAATAAACGAAGTAACTTCTGAGAATCTGCAGCTACTTCCCAAGGGCATTCCCAAAGTGCAAGAGGCCCAGACAGGAGCAGCACTTAGCTCCTGTCCTCATTAATAGCTGTAGACAGTGTTTTGACTCCTTCGTTTACCGGTAACTAGATATCACCAACCTCAGACATAGAAAACTATGTTTTTGTGTGAAGATGTTCTTATTTAGAATCTATGAATTATAATAGCAATATAATATCACAATTTTCCTTTCCATATATATCTAAAATAATCAACTCTCATAACCCCTGGGCATACCAGCCATTAAGAGTAAGCAGTTTTCTTTATAAAAAGCTTTGTCAGCCTGAAGGCCATCATTTAATTTACATGTAGAGAAGTCTGTAATATATTCACATTCTTAATTGAGTTAATAAGCACATAAATAGCAATAATTTGAATTTACTTGCCTAACACACTGATTCTTCAGATTCCATTCCCAGCTGGACCACCTACTAATTATGCACAATCAGCAAGTCACTTACAGCCTCTCTGGGCTTCCGAGCCTTTTGTTTTTCTTCTTTCTGCAAAGCAGGAATGAGAACATTTACCCTCCAGGTTCTCAAAGGGTCAAATAGGATGATGGGTATGATAGAGTCCTGTCAGCTTTCAGATACCACCTGGTGCTCATTATCTGTCATTCTAGGATGTTAAGACTGGAGTCAACAGAAGAAAACAGGAACTAGATCCTCTTCCTGTACCAGCTCACTCATTAGCCTTCATCCCATGATCATTAAATTTCACATCTAAAGTTTCACCCCCAGCAATCGGGGGGTTTTCCAGGTGGCATCCATAGCCAAAGTACTTAATACCATTATGAGCATAGTAGTCCTATTGTGATAAGTAGGATGGTCTAACTGATGTAATAAAAATACAGAATTTGATGCATCTGTTTAGTTATGTAAATAGTTTGCATTTTATTTTATTATTTAAATTTTCAACTTGCACAGTGGTGAGCTAGTGCATTAATAATTCTGTTTTGGGGTTGGATATGTTTACCTTTACAAAGATGAGTCTGATTTGCTTGAGAAGCTGCCAACTACAATGCAGTTAGCCCTTGCCATTGATATGAACTTCAACATCATCAGCAAAGTCGATTTGTTCAAGGTAAGTGCTTTTATAATTAATAGAAAGGTACCTTATTGATTCCCTCAAAAAAATCTGAGCTCTTGCTTTACATAGAATTTATAATTCTTATTTTTATTATGTTTTGACAAAGTCAGAATAACCTGGAGAATTTATGATGGTCAAATACTTTTCAGGTCTCTCCTGTACAGACAGCTTACTCTTTAGAAGCCTCTCTCTTCTAATTGATGTCAAAGAACAGTTCTTTAGATAATTCTTGCATTAATTTAGATATAATTAAAATCTGTAGCTCTATGTCTTTGCTAGTAGGTACATCTCCTTCAGTTTACAAATATGTATTAGCAATATATGATAAATCAGACCCCAGATAAACTCTGGATTGGCCTGACAATCAAAGAATCATGTCTAACCACATGTTGTATCACAAACACTTTGGATCTAGACTTTTAGATGGCCAAATACAAATTTGGAGAGTTCCTAGAAGAACTTATATAGCAAAAAAATTTTTGGCTCTGTTATTTTTAATTGTACTACTCTCATCTTTAGCTAGTACACTGCACACAAGTTTTTCTCACCTAAGATTTAATTCTATGTATGGCATTCACTAAATTATCTGTTCATTTAATTCACTGAACAAATGTTCATCAAGTTTCTCCTATGTTCTAAGAAGCCTGGTAGCCACTTGGAATGCAGCACTTAAAAACTAGTGCTTAGGGCCGGGGAGATGGCTCAGTGGAATAAGCGCTTCTCTGGCAAGTGCAAGGACCTGAATTCAATCCCCGGTTCTGAAAAAAAAAACTAGTGCTTATATGTATGGAACATAAATTCCAGAAAAGAACAAAAAATAATATACAATAGGTGGTAGAGATAATGGTACAAACAAAATTGAACAAGTTCTAGAGGATAAATTCAGTATACTGAAAGGCCTCTCTGATGAAATGCTTCAGGCTTTTGAACAGAGGACTTGGAGAAGCAAGGGCAGAGGACAGATAGGAATGGGAGAGGGCGAACATTCCTGGAGGCTGGCAAGGTGAAACCCGGAGCTGGGCACACACTGCAAATAGATGAGAGGGGCTGGAGCAAAGCTTCAGGGATGGAGATGTTTCCAAGAGAAGTCAGAGGAAAGAAATAAGAGAAGGCCAAGTGAAGGAGCAGGCTAATGAAGGACCATGTAGACTATGCTATAGACCCTGAGTAAGATGTGTTCTGGCCTGCAAGGGTACCGAGACTCTTGTGCAGAACATGGTCTATTTGTGACTAGTTTTAAAAAGATCATCCTTCCTTCTGGGTAGGCCTAGATCTTAGGAAGAAATTACAGAAGATAGACAAATGGACATGATGCTCACCAGCTGTAGCAGGGATGACAGTGACCACATCCAGCATAGTAGGAACAAAGCTTTCACAGAGAGCTCCAAAAAATTTTGACCCAGACAATAGGAAGATCAAACTTATTATTTACAAAACACTACATTTTGGAGTATATGGATTGAGAAAAGTAGAGACTAACCCTATTATGGATTTTAAAAGGGTGTTCCTTCAGGCCAAAATTCATGTTGCAGTTCAGTTACCAACACAGCAGTATCATGATTAATTCATAACGGCTCTGCCTTCATAAATGTGATGAACGTGCTTACAAAATGGCCCAAGGTCAGAGGAATATTCTTCCACCATGTGAGGACATAGTGTTCTCCTCCGGAGAAGGATGTAGCAGGAAGCTTCATCTTGAGAGGGAGACAGCTCTCACTGGACGCCAATTCTGGCACCCTGAAATCAGACTTCTTAACTGTGGGAAATATGAGAAACAAATTTCTATCTTTTATAAATTACCCACTCTTTGGATTTGAATTTATAGAAGCAAAAAACCAGACTGAGATAGATATACTAGTCTGCTATGCCTCCAGATGGAAATGTGATTAATCTCCTGTGATTAATTGGAGTTGAGAGATGTCCAAGCTGAAATAAATTTGGACCGATGAGCATACTGGTGTATTTTAAGCCATGATATTCAAGGTGATCACCTAGAACACAAGTATACACAGAAAAGAAAATGTAATTCACGTAGAACCACGAGCCTTGAAAATATGTAGTCAGTACTACTGTAGACAGAATGAAGAAGCAAAGGCTGTGTGCCAGAATGGGTGTGCAGGGTCAATCCCAGTGTTAAAGACAGTCAGTCCCAACTGCTGCCTCTTAGGACACAGACTTAGATGCACACACTAAGCCCCTCTTCTTCACTATATCTTTTTTTTCCATAATTTTATTGAGAAACAAATAGGAATGAGACAGTTTCAAACCAAATTGGTAGGACAGGTTCAATAATTAACACATTGCATACATTCTTCCTAGTGGTTAATTGCTATACAAGATGTGGACATGATATCCTATTTACAAACACCATTAGAACAAATCCCTCTATTCATTAAGAGAATGTACCTATATATCTATCCTAACCATTTTGAATACACAGGTAAAAAATGGACATTCATCTGTATCCCCTTTTTTTGTTAAGTTCCATCATTTAAATATTATAGGTGTGTAATCTCAGCAAAATATTCTAAAAGAGTCCAGTAGCCCATAATAGTATTGGATCTTCCGCTTCACTGGTAATGTCAGAAATTGACCTGAGTCGTCCCCCACAGCTCAACATAACAGCATGGCTTTACCTCTTATACTTCATTTTTATACTTTTCTGCTGGATGGTTAAGACCAAGGTAAAGCAGGACCTATGCAACAAGAGTTGTAGCTTTTGGGTCTGATAAGGTCAGTGAAATGCCCTCAGGATTTATCCTGAGATTCTGTACCTCAGATTGTAGATCCTTTGTCAGTGTCAGTCATGCAGATGAGTCACGGCCATTGCTTGGCCATTGTGCTCTCTGCTTCAGTATATCTTGGTGTGGATTTCCATCAAGATTTGTACAGAAGCAAGCTGGACATTGTGCCTCCCTGCATGACCAGCACATAGAAGGCTGAGGCAAGAGGAGTGCCACAAGTTTGAGAGCAGCCAGAGCCACACCATGAGTTTGAGGCCAGCTTGGACTACACAGTGAGACTGTCTAAAAAAAAAAAAAAAAGATTTTGATAAAAGCATAAAATGTGTGATACTAAACACAAGATATATAACGCAAAGTAGAAAGGAATAGTTTTAAATATGCTAGTTAATTTACAAAATTGTAAATTAACTGAATATTTAATGCAGTAAGCAAAGCCAACAAGATTAAATTGCAGTAAATATAAAATTCTGAACTTAGTCCAAAAGGAAGGTAGGTAGGTACAGAGAGAGGGAGAGAGAGGCAGGAGAGAGAGAGAGAGAGAGAGAGAGAGAGAGAGAGAGAGAGAGAGAGAGAGACAGAGAGACAGAGAGAGAAAGAATTTTGTTTTATGACAACTCCTTCTAGACCTGATTTCTAATTTCATATGAGTCAACAGTTATAGCTGAGATTGCCCTAAATTCTAACATTATGTTGGTTTTCTTGACCATTAAAACCACGTCTAGATTAACATCACATTGCAAATATTCAGTTTTAAGAAAGATGGCAACACATCTGGCCATCTTCCAGCAAAGGGAATGACAGTAAGGCTGAATGGTAGCCTAAGAAGATAGTAAAGGAAGAGCTTATGAAATTCTTTTGTGATAACAGAAAGCAGTTCAACGATTGAGTCTAACAGAGAGTAGAGGTAGGAATATTGACTAACAAGAGGTGTAATGAAAATGTGGGGTGAGGGAAATGTATCATCTCTTTCTAGGGTAGGTGCACAACCACGTGCATTTGTCAGGCTGGTCCGATTGTCCCTTAGGATCTGTCTGTGTATTTCACTGTATGTAAGTTACGCTTCCATTTAAAGAAGGAGGAGCAGGAGGTAATGCAGGAAAAGAAATTCCAGGAGGAGAAAGTCAGGCCCCCAGAGAAAATGTGTAGATACTGAAGAAGTTAAGTGTAAGAAAACAAAAATTCACTCAAAGGCAGCAGAAGTTTCACACACTTAAGTTTGTTATATGCAGAAGGAATTTGATCAGCTTTATATATTGTTCAGCAAAGTGGTGCTGCATGTAAACTCTGTCTCTGAGATGCAGGCGAGTCTACGGGAGTAACACCTCCTGGGAAAACAAGCATGTGTTCTGTCTGTGCCTGCAGTGACAGTGCAGATTCTGACGGAGAGCCGCTACCTAGCAAAAGCCTTAGAAAGAAAGGCAGGGGGTAAAGGAGGGGGTGCATACACTGGCACTAATTCTTGAGTGCTTCCCTGGTGCCAGTACAGCTGCCCCACAGTGGAAGCCCCTGGTGAAACAGAAGCCATCGTGGACGGTACAGGTAGAGCTTTCTGATCTTCCATCAGAGAGACTAAAGAAGGGATGTGGACAGTGAATAGTAGATTTATATAGATAAATGATTTTTATACTGCAGGTTTTCACCCACCAGGGATCATGAATTCACCTGAGTAGGCCACAGTCAGCACATAAAACATAAGACAAAGCATTGGAATACCTCACACATGATTATGTGCAGGTATCACAAATTCCCTGGGTTTTGTTATTTATTTTAAAACATACACATATGTGCTTATGCTGCCTTAGGCCCATTGAAATTGTATATGTTACTATATGCTATAGGAAAAAAATGTAAGAAAACTAGATTAACAGTGCTTTTAAATATTTTCTTATTCCTTCATATCTAATTTAACTGGCAACGAGTAACAATAATTAGCATTTTTCCTAAAGGAAAAAAATACTTTAAATACCAATGACTTTTATTGGATTATTTCCAACCAAGAAAGTTACTGGTTTTTCAAATCACAGTTTTTCCTTTGCTTTTATGTATTTTGGAAATCCATCAAATAGCAGCAGCTGATTGAGGGGAAAAAAGCTTCAGTCTGCACATCCTGCTTGCCTATAAACTTACATTCTTTCCTGACATTTCCATTACAGATGCAGTTCTTTCTAGAAAGAACCCATTTCCAGTTCCATTTCTGTCCAATGAAAGTAACTTTTTCCTTGAAGTCAAATGAAGTAGAAAATGAGTAGT